AGGCAGGGAGCTGGGGCAGCAGTGGGAGGGACCAGGAGGTGGGCGTGCAGGAGGGTCAAGGATGGAGCAAAGCAGGCATCAAGCTTTATCTCCTGGACATTTGACGCCTATTACTGGGGTAGTTTTGTGATACTGAGGGCTTATTGACTCATTCAAATGAAGCTCATAAAATTTCCACACTTCAAGAGGGAGAGCTGTAAATGCTATTTAGCAACTTGGAAACCAGAGGACAAGCGAAGGAAAGACAATGAGAGAAGATGCACTGTGTGTGCAGAATGCGGACATGTGCCAACTGGGGTGACTCATAACCCTTCTCTGAACCTGACCTCACGGGCCTTATCCAGGGCAAGCAGGGATGCTGCAGGTGCTCCTGATTTGTCCTTCCATTAATGAGCACTTTCTGTAGATTATGTAAAATGTGCATGAGGGGTTTAGCACAGGGCTGGGCCCAAGTAAGGGCTCAATAAATGTTGACTGTTGTGGTCCCTTGTAGGAATAGGATGAATAGGACACTACAGCAAACCTTAACTTTCCAAGTTGGAGCTCATTGTTTTCGGCTCCAAACAAATCATTTATCTACAGAGAAAGGGTACACAACAGTGCTAAGCCATATTCAGTAGAATCCTCTTCATTTCCACTACACTTAATTCAAGATGCTGGAACAAGACCCAATGTGGGGTTGCAGGATTGTAGACATCTAACTAGGAGTTTGTTTGTGCATTCTAGAAGAGCTGGACAAAGAGCAAAGGGGTCCTTGTGTTGGGAATAAAGATAATAAACTAGGGTTAAGTGTTCTGCCTCTGGGATAGACACCTGGGGTTCAAATCCTAGTTCTCCTTCATACTAGCTGGTGGCCCCAAACAAGCTATTTTTACTTCCTTAATTTCAGTTTCCTTACCCATAGAGTAGAAGTAATAGAGCCCACCCCCTCAGGGTTCTTGTGACAATTCAATTAACTAAAATAAGTGAGCTAATGCACACCTCACAGGTAGCATGTGTGCATCATATCAGTACCCTTGATAAACAGCATTTCTTAGCATTCTGTCATGTGCCCAAGGTCACAGACCAAGGACATGGGAGAGTCAGGATGACCCCTGACCCCACTTCTCATGAGTTCATCCTGTTCCCTAGGAATGGGGAGATACCCCTCTTCTATTTCCTTACAGTTCTGACAAGGACATGGAGAATCATCAGAGGCTGTGAGTCCCAGAGGAAAGAGCAAGGCCAGAAAAGGGAAACCCATGAAAGAATAATACTAAACATTGGGTGTGTTGGGACAGCAGCCATTAGACCCATTCTTAAAAGAGTCAACACAGCAGGAGACTGCAAAGGTGAGAAGACACCCTCAACCATGAAATGTAGTCTGACTCACACAGTCTCCACGGGAGCTGATGGATATTAACGTGATGACTTCAGAACAGGTATGACAAAACCAATCTCACCCCAGTTATTACAGCTACAGTCACTGGGACTGTTTTAGCCTAAGGCTGTCACATTTCTGTCACTCATTTGAGCCAGTAAACACTTAGTATGGTCTAAAATTCTGTTTCTCCTCTTTACTCTATGGTGAGGGTTTTATGTGTACACACACACATGCCAGAGTGTAAAAGGAAGTTGTTGGGGTAAGAATGGAGTGTGAAAAAAAATTATTGCACAATCAGCAAATATTAATTGCTTAATAAGTGCCAGGTACTGTTCAATATCCTGGGAAATACAATAGTGAGGAAGATGGATAAAATTCCTCCCCTCATGGGTCTTATATTCTTTAAGGAATTATCTTGGTAGATATGTTCAGAGCTTCTTCCTTCCTTCCTTCCTTCCTTCCTTCCTTCCTTCCTTCCTTCCTTCCTTCCTTCCTTCCTTCCTTCCTTCCTTCCTCTCCTTCCTTTCTTTCTTCCTTCCACCCCTCATCCACTCATTTAATAAATACTCTGGAGTCAGAGTGCATTCTAGCTTGGGTACTTACTAGCTAATGCAAGTTTGGGAAAATTTCTTATCCTCTAATACCCTCTTCTCTAAAATGGAAATAAGAATAAGACCCATCTACACAATAAGAAATATCCAGGGAATTGAATTCAAGAATAGCCCACACCCAGTCTTTTTACTCTGGGAGGCCGAAGGTGATGGATGAGGCTTTTGTCCAGGTCTGGATGAGCTGTGATCTCTACCCCAGCCATCTTAGAGTCCATCATACACCTCTGAGATTGATGAGGTGGGTGCACCTCTAGGCAAGGCTACATACTATATCAGGCTGGACCTGGGCAATGGAGGCATCATCATCATCATTCACTGCTGTCTGTGGGCTGCTAGGGAGACTCTGGGTGCCTGGAAGCTGGCCACTGCCCTGGAGAATGTCTCCAAGCCCTTTTCTATATCCTGGCCACACTGACATCCTTCTGTGTCCTTTAGATAATTTGATTTATTCAAGCATCTACTATTGACATTTGTCCCTAAGTAGTTAGACTCGTGGGCATGATGGGAAAATTCAGTGAGGTCACAAGTCAAGAGTTTAGTACAGTGCTTGTCCCAGAGCTAAAGCTTACATGTTAGCTATTGCTGTCTTTGCGCACTAGCTATGTGCTAGGCATGTTAATGCAGGCATGGTGTCTGCATACTCACACACACAATGCAGAAGTCAATAAATGCAAAGAGACAGCCTTTGTTCCTGCAGCAGCAAAAACAAACTCTGGCCCCTATTAAGCACCTGCAGGTTTCTGAACTTAAAGCAGAATTCATGTTCTCTGCCTTCCTTTTAAAACACATGGAGGATATTTAAATGCCAGTGATGTGCTTTTTAAAAGATTTTATTTATTTTTTAGAGAGAGTAGGGAGAAAGAAAGAGAGGGAGGTTAAACATCAATGTGCAAAACAAACATCAATCGGCTGCCTTTTACATGCCCCTAACCAAGGACCTGGCTTACAACCCAGGCATGTGCCCTGACCAGGAATCGAACCTGCAACCTTTCGTTTGTGACACAATGCCCAACCCACTGAGCTACACCAGTCAGAGCTCCAATGATATGGTTTTGATGTTAGAAACAATCTGGAGATAAGAACAGTACCTTAGTTATAGTTTTAGAACAGAGCAAAAATACTGTCTCTTTGAGAACCAAAAAAGTAAAAACTGGAAACAGAAAAATAGAAAACAGATGCAAAAGCAAGACCCAGACACTAATTTAATCATCTTTTATAAGAGGGAATTAATACTTCCTGATGAATGTTTATATATAAATAAAAGAATAGTCATAAAGCTATCCACCAGAATTAATAAAAATCAACCCTATTAACACAGGTCACTTCTATAAATTAGAATTAAGGATAAAATGGAGGAAGATGTTTAATTTTCACACATATGTGATGTATTATTTATAGACTATGATAATCCCAAACCTTGTTGCCACTGAACTCTCAGTTATTCCACATTCACCAAAACTCTGGGAGTTGATGGTCCCCTGCAACCAACATTATCCATCAGGAAGAGCAGCATGGAGATTTCAGCATTTCCCCAGATCCTATACTTGGATTATCACTGTTTCTTGTTTGGGGTGACTGTACCCATTACTTGAATTCAGCAACTGCTGAGATACAGGTGAGCCCCAAGTCTGTATTTCTAGTTCAGTGGTTTTCCCTACACTTCACACTCAGAAACGAAACTTCCTGCCACTGATCTTGACTTGGGTAATCCCCGGGCACCTCAAAGTCATTATGTCCGATCTTGGCAACCTCGGATGTTGGAACCACCTGACTTAATAGAACACGTGGTCTGAGTTGATATTTCTCCCACACATACAATACTTCAAATTATTTTATTTTAAAAAATGTGGGGACAGAAGGATTCCTTCTAAACCCTTATGTATTGGTTATCTTATTCTCAGATGAAAGAGAGGATGTTTCTTATCTGTGAAATGGAAGATGTTCTAGAACCTTCCTCTGAGGGCTCCTGTGAGAAGGGATTGTGCATGTGCTCTCAACACAGGGAATGGCCCATGCAGAGAGCTACATAAATGGCAGTTGTTAATATTGCAGTCCATTTTGTGGGGTGAGAGAGGTCATATAATGTAGCTGTGAGAATATGGGTTTTGAAGGCAGGAGGAGCTGGGTCTGACTCCTAACCACCCCATCTTCCCATTTACTAGCTGGAAGGCTCTGAGCAAGTTAACTTCCCTGAGCCTCAGTCTCCTCATCTGCAAAATGAGATTATCCTATAACTGGCCTCATGGAGTTGACAGAAATCAATGATAGAATGTGTAAGAGACGCTTACCACATGCCTGGAGGGTGTGATGTTGCTGCTTCTTTAAGTGGTGTTTGTGTTGGGAGTTGACAGGCAATACAGGAAATTTTCCTCTTAAATTGTCTGTTTTTGTTTTGTTTTGTTTTGTTTTTAAACTCTCAGTTTATCTGCCAGTGCTCAATTTTAAAATTAGTTTCTCTTGAAAGACTACCTGTAATTCCTCAGGAATGCGCTGCTCTGTAGACAACAGATTTTCAAGTCATCTGACTCTGAGGTTGCTAATGACCCCAGAAGAGAGGCATTATTATTTTCCCCCATTTGCAAATGAAGGAACTGAAGCTCAGAGAGGCTAAGTAAACTGCTCTAGCTCATCCAGCTTTGGTGTTTTGTTTTGTTTTGGTTTGGTTTTGTTTTTTAACTCAGGTCTAGCTGAATGTAGAGTGTGTGCTTTACCGATACCAGCACAGGGAACCACCTCTGGTGCTGTCTCTGTCTCTCTCTTCTTCCATTTCTCTTCACGATCATAACAGAAAGAGCTTAGGCTTTGCTGTCAGACTGACCTGAATTCAATCTCAATTATCATAAAACACAAGACTATGATACCTACTTCTCTAGGCAGTAGTGAGAATTAAATGAGTTTTTAAAAAATGTACCTAATGTCTTTATCACAGTGCCTGACACGCAGCAAGAAACAGTAAATGTTAGCTTCTAGGGTATCCTCTGTCTGAAACCCCCTTCCTTTTCTTGGCTGCTTCCTTAGACACTCACATAAACCTGAGCTCTGACTCCCGTCGAACCAAAACTTCCCGGAGACGCTGGATTTTCGCCATCTCCAACTCGATCTCCTCTGGCATCATGGTTGTCTCTGCCATGGAGATGATGTCCAGCTGATCTGTGTGGGAGACACAAAATGCAGCTGTCAAGACCCTGAGTCTGCATGGGTTTGCAAGAATTCCCTCATTCTGGGGAACTGCCTCAATCCATTGACCTTCATCCATGGCCAAGGCACACTGATCTCAGACTGCTCTGCAAATGTTTGTGTGTGAGAAAGCCCTTTTGATACTAGAAAACGCATTTTGTGTGGGAACCACGGTACTTACGATGGCAAGCGGAGGTTCAGGTGGGCTCACCAAAACCTGCTCAGGATTGTACAGGGGAGGCCTTGACAGCCCCTGACTATTCCCAGCTCCTGAGTCTCTGCTCCCCTTGGCCATGGTCACTTTGCCTTGTCCCGGCCTCCAAGACCAGGTTCGGCTTTAGACAGAAGAAAGTTGTATAATAATTATTTTATAGTAATACTACTTCTTATTATCTTATAGAAATACTAAGTAATGTAAGTAATAGCAATATGAAATAATATGTTTGTTGTAGAAACTTCAGACAATACAGATAGGCTAAAAAGAACAAGGTAAAAAGTCGTCCATATCCACACTGCCCAGAAAGAACCATCACCCACATTTTAATGGACATTCTGTCTGGCTTATAGTTATAGAGTTAGTATATATATTGCCACGTGTAAAAAACATATCTACTACAACCATATATATTACCACATATACATTATCATAGTTATAGAGAAAGATACTACATTTCCTCATATATGCATGTGTATTAGTTTTCTTGGGCTACCATAATAAAATACCAGAGGCTGGGCAGCTTAAAGAACATACATTTATTTTCTCACAGTTCTGGAGGCTGAAAGTCCCAGACTAGGCCTGGCAGGGTCAGTTGTGGTGAGAGATCTCTTCTTGGCTTGTAGACAGCCCCTTCTTGCCATGGCCTCACATGGCCTTTTCTTTATGCACAGAGAGAGAGGGTGCTCTGGAATCTCTTCTTAGAAGGACACTAATCCTATATGATCAGGGCCCCACCCTTATGATTTCATTTAACCTCTAATCAGCCATAGTGGGTATTAGGGCTTCAATATATGAATTAAGGTAAAGGGCATAGACATGCAGTCCATAACAGTATATGTGTGTGTGTGTGTGTGTGTGTGTGTGTGTGTGTGTGTGTATACACTATATATATACACACACACCATATTTTGCCATGTATAATGTGCACCCATGTTTTTGTGTGCATTGTACATGGTATTATTATACTCATTATTATACCCATGGTATGTAATCATTATACCCATGTATAATGTGCATCCTTATTTTTCCCTAAAAAATTTAGACAAAAAATGTACATCACGCATGGCAAAATATGGTGTGTGTGTGTGTGTGTGTGTACACACATATGTACATATATACACACATATATGATCTATACCAAAGGTATCCATTCATGTAATATGAAAAATAGAAACATTTATTGAAGAAGATACAAGATATAAGAAACATTGTACATAGGAAAATGATGCCTCAGTCCCCCTCAAAGTAGCACCTTGGGACCTCACACAGTTCTCCCAATCTCCATCAGCTGCTCCATCATATTTTCTTGAATCTCATCAATGGTTTGAAATCTCTTCCCTTTCAAAGGTGATTTTAGTTTTGGAAAAGCCAAAAGTCACAGGGTGCCAAATCTGGGCTGTAGGGGGCTGAGTCATCTGGGTGATTCGATGTTTCATGAAAAAACACTGCACAAGATGTGATGCATGAGTGGGCACATTGTCCTGACAAAGCTGCCAATCACCAGATGCCCATAGCTGAGGCCTCCTGAATCATCCAAATAGTTTCCGCAGAGGAGTGTTCAAGCTTAATGTAAAATCTGATGCAGATTCATTGCTCTACTTGCTCAGTCATTTGAATGTGATGGCCACCCAGTACGCATGCTCACTCAATGGCGTCTACCACCCCCACTGACTAGTACAGTGAACTCATCACTATTCACACATGCACATTCTAGTTCACTGTCCTTGGCTGTGAAGTTACTGTCCTTGGCTGTGATGTCATGCAAACTGTTCTCATTATATTAACAGTGGCTGGACTTTTTCCAGACAGACCTCATATAAGTGTGTGTGTGTATTTTACGCTATATATTTCCATTAACATTTTGATGTATATTCTTCCAATGTGTATGTGTGTATATATTAACATATATTAGTATATATATATTAATTTATATATTATATATTATAAAATGATGCCCATATATAGGGCACTATATGCTCTATGTGTATAATATACATACACACACATATGCAAGTATTTTTTAATTGAAGATATCCAACATACAACACTGTGTGAATTCATGTACTCCCATGTTCATTGCAGCATTATTCACAGTAGCCAAGGTATGGAAACAACCGAAATGACCATCAATGGATGCAGTATACATACATACACAGCAAAGTATTATTTAGCCATGGAAATGTAGGATATTCTGCCAAAAACATGGATGGCCCTTCAGCACATGATGTTAAGTGAGATAAGTCAGAGAGAGAAAGATGAGTACTGCATGATCCCACTTATATGTGGAATCCAAAAAAGTCAAATTCATAAAAAGCAGAGATGGTTACCAGGGGAAGGAGGGGCGGGCATAAAACTGGTGTTCAAAGGTACAAACTTGAAACAAGTAATAAATATAATTATTTACCTGTACACCAAAATATTAGTAGTTAAAAATGTTAATATATGTGTATATACATATGTGTACATATGTGTACACACATATAATGATATACATATAAATTCGTCATTTTGTGGGTCTGGTTTTTGCCGCACTGTATAAAGTCAGAGTCTCACATTTTATTACCTGACAACACGTCATGAGCATTTCTGCATGTCCTTGGATGTTCTTGCTCAGTAGCAGGGAGAAAGGCTGTGTAGTTTTCTATTTATGGCAATATCATGAATCACTTCTCCAACCTGCAGACAGGTTGTTTTCTGTTTTGCCCCACTATGAACAGCCCTGTGATGAGCATGGTCAAAGCTAAATCTCTGCGTGCATCGAAGAGATTCCTTTATTTCCAGAGGGAATGCCTGTGTTGTAAAAGATGCTTTTCCCAGGGATGGAAGGAGATGTAGGGGAGGGGATTTTCTCACTCTACTTTAAGACCAAATCACATCACTCACACCTGCTAACTCATCTCACACCTGGCCCCTCAGTTCTGCTACCCTGCATTTGTCTTTTTCTTTACATCCCAGTCAGTGATTGAAAAGCTGCTTTCTCTTAACCTGTTTCTCTTCTACACCCTGGAGCCCTGGCCCAGTCTTCCTGCCTAGGTACTGTGATTTGCAGACTTCCCTAAGCCAGCTCCTGCCTGCTTGGATCTCAGAATAGGGCCCGCTCCCAAAAGCCCAGGCAACTGCTTTGTCATCTGTGGAAAACTATTCACCCTGAGTCCTTCACCAGACATCAGATTTTGGTAAATTTCATACCCTTCAATCTCCTACCCCTCAACACATTCGTTCCATAGCTGAAACTACCTGCTTCACCCTCCACCAATGAAAAGGCCTGGCTTGAGGAAGGACTAAAGGAAAAAAAAGATTAAAACATTAATATTAACTGAGCATTACTATGTACTGGGCTCCAACTAGGCTGGAGGAACAGCTTCAAGGAGCACCAACCCCAGGCACAGGGCAATATAGGGTTGTGGTGACTTGGGAATGGGAAGTAGAGAGTGTTCTGAAATCAGGTGGCCTGGGTTTGAGTCTCAGCTCTGCCTGCCACCAGCTATGTGGCCTTGGACAGTGACTTAACCTCTCATGACTCAGTTTCATCCTTTGTAATATGAGGATACTGACACCCAGCTACCCAGGGGAGTGTGAGAACTGAATTAACAGAGGCACGCCATGTTCAATGCACGGTTACCATTATCTTTGTTATCACCACTGGGCCCACTCTGCCGTGCCAGCTCTTTATCCTCACTACAAGCCAGCATGAAAAGGATGTTCTCTTTTTTTACAAATAAGGAAAGAAAAGCTCAAAGCCGTGTACATGTTTGCCTCCAAAATACATACTTCTTGCCTCGTCACCAGCATCCTTTGTCCACGCAAGCATTCCAAGTCCAATACCCCTATTCGTTCACATCTACAAGTCCCAGGGCTGCTGTAACAAATCACCACAAACCGAGTGGCTAAAACACAGGAATGTCTCCCTTTACAGTTCTGGAGGACAAAGTCCCAAACCAAGGTGTCCGCAGGGCCACACTCCCTCTAAAGTTTCTAGAGGAGGATCCTTCCTTGCTTCTTCCAGACCCTGGTGGCTCTTGCCATCTTTGGCTTGTGGCAGCATCGCTCCCACCTCTGCTTTCATTTCACAAGGCTTTCTTCCCTGCAGCTCTGAGTCCTCTGTCCTTTTCTGTCTCATTGGACTTGGGGCCTGCCCTGGTCCAGTATGATCTCATTTCAATCTTTATTTTAGTTGCCTCTGCAAAGACTCTATTTCTAAATAAGGTCTGAGGTTCTGGGTGGATATGAATTTTGAAAGAGCACTATTTAGCCCACTACAGACGAGTGGTCACAGGCTTACAAGCTGCCTGACAGTGATGCCACACTCTTCAAGAGCTTTAGTCACTGCACAAGGAGCACAGCCCTGGCTTGAAGTGGCAGGGATCCCAGGAAGTGGCCAGGGGATGGGGTGTGGTGACAACCAGCTGAGAGCCAGAGTCAGAGATCCTTATCTGAGGCCACTCACCAGCTATCTGTCCTTGAATGAGCCTCTTTTACCACTTAGCTTCACTTTTTTATTTGCAAAATGGACTTCAATAGCTCCCGTGTGTTATACAGGGCTGGAGGCTTTACATGTATTATCTCATTTAATCACAATTTTACAAATGATGAATCTGAAGCTTAGAGAAGGAAAGTGAGTTGTCCAACATCGCATAACTAGAATATTGGACAGACAGAATTCAAACCCAGGTCTGTCTCTCCATCTGTGTCTTTCTCTCTCTTTCCCTTAACCACAATGTAAAGCCTCCAGGTGAAGGTTGAATGCAGTTGAGGA